AGCCGTGGGCACCTCGGGACCGTCCGCCCCCGCTTTGTGTCTGCACCTCCACGGGACTGAGTCCCTCCCGGGCCCTGCGGTCCAGCTTTGGCCAGGGTCGTCTGGGTCTGTGGGGGCGCCGGCCCCTGGTCTCTGCCTCGATCCTGTGTCCAGAGCAGTGCGTGGGGGACAGGCAACTGGAGCCGCGTTTAAGGCCTGGGGCAGGGTGCTTGGGAGCGTGAAGTGGTTTGAATGACCCGCTGGCTTAGAGGGTGGCGGCCGAGAAGAGCGGCGGGGAAGGTCAGGTAGGGGATAGGGGTTGTGTGCACCCCGAGTCTGCGTGTTTTCCGTCATTCCTGGCGTGCAGGCGTGCACACCTGCGTGAACCACATGTTCACAGACGTGTGCACAAGTGTGCATCGGCCTCGCATGGTGGACATTTGGCAAACGACAATGGAGGCAAAGAAACCAGAGTGCGCACCTGCGTGAGGTCCCCTCCTCTTCCAGTGCTTGTGCGGGGCGCACCCTTGTGAAATCTGCCCCTCTGTGCGCCTTCCTCGGGGCACCAGGCCTTGCACAGGACGTGTGGATGAGCTGTGCCACGGGGCTGTGCTTGCTTCTGCATGTAGCCTGCCGATGAGTGCGTGCAAGCATGTGCACACGCCACCTCTCTGTGCCGGTTCACGTACTGTGTTAGCCATGTCACCAACAGACAGATCAGCTTGTACACGCTTGTTCCCCCATTGGGTACACATGTTGATGTGTGCCTGTGCAGTCCTTGGACACACATGTATGTGTGGTGCCAGTGTGTGCAGGTATGTTCATGCATGAACATGTTTGCACATGTGTGCTTGGTCGTGTGTGTGTGTGCGCGCGTGCTGGGTCTCTTGGGATCTGCTGGCAAGTCAGCCTGTGTAGGGGGGCACGGGGAGCTTCAGCATCCTTAGAGCTCTCACCAGAAGGCCTCAGGAGACTTGGAGTGGGAGGCTCAGGGCCAGCCAGGAGAGTGGCCCCCCGGCCCTGGGCAGAGGAACTGGGGCCATCCTCTGCTCTCCCATCTTCCGTTGCTGACCTGGGAAAAGGGGTTGAATAACTTAGGCACTCTACAATCCTGCGTTGGGGACCCGGGCTGTGGGGAGGCGTGGGCATGGCCTCCCTGCTGGAGGCTGGGCCCTGGCTGAAGCCCCTACTTTCTCCCTGGCCCCTCCCTCAGAAACCTAATGGACCTCCTCCTCGCAGAGGGCCCTGTGCTGCCCTCGCCCAGTCTGGGGGGGGGGTGCTGGAACCCACTCACCTCTGAGCCTTCCCTTGTAACTGGCTCTCACGGGAGCCGGTTACAGGAGCCAGTTATGGGGGCTGTGGGGCCGCAGTAGGTGCCGTAGGGCGGCCGTCCGGCCTTTTGCCGCGGGGGCTGCCCTGGGAAAGTGCCTCACCCCTGTGGGGCATGGACTGGAGTGGAGAGGTGAGAATGGCCTGGCCCAGTCGGTTTCAGGGTTATGCTGTGATTTAACTGGGGTTTGAGGGACTCCCAGAGGCTGCCCTGGGGGCGGGCCCTCAGGGTGTGACTTGAGTTTCCTGGCCTACCGCCAGGCTGAGGGCCAGGCAGTGTGGGCGAGAAGATGTGGTCTGTAATGTGGAACCTGGTCGCCCCAGCCCTGGAAAGGGGGACCCTGCCTGCACCTTCCTGGTCTGGGAGGGCCTAGTGGCAGCCTGGGTGCGGTGGGCAGGGGGCCAGGGGAGCCTGTGGAGGGAACCGCCTGGCCTCTGTTCGGCGGGCGCTGAGTCACGGCTTTGGTTGGGGGGCAGCCACACCCTCCTCCCCATCCTCCGAGCTGCTGAGGAAATTCTGGGCTGAGCGCAGCAGACGAGGCCTAGGTCCCTGGGGCGGAGGAGGGTAGAGCTGAGGGGCTCCCAGCAGCGGAAACTGCAGCTCTCGGGGCCTCTGCCAGTGCCCACCCTGTCCCCGTGAGCACGTCCGTGAGCTGCGGGGTGCAGCCACCCCCCCTTGCTGGCTCTCCAGGGACACAGGTGCCCCAAGCCCAAGGGCGGCAGCTCTGGGTGCAGCTGTCTCTGCATCCGGCCCTGCCCAGGGGTGGCTGCAACTTCTGGGGCGTGGTTCTCTCTGCTGCCTTCTCCTGGGCGGATGGTTCCTTCTCTCCTCTGGGATCCTCCAGCTGAGGTAGAGATCAGGGTCCAGGGACTGTGGGCTGGGTGCGTGGACACCACAGTGAGGTTCCCTCCATTGCCTCTGCTTCGGGATTCAGAGTCCTCTTAGCCTCTTGGGAACAGGTGAAGGCTGCTCAGAGAGGACCTGGTGTCCTGCTGTGGTGACTGGGACCATTCAAGGTCCTTCCCCGGGGGGCGCCTGCGGCCCCAGCTCCTAATTGAGGACACGCCCCTGGAAACCACAGGCCCCTCCCCTGAGGCCCGAGACACGCGTCAGGCTAGCAAGGGATGAGGGACTGTAGGCCCCGATGGCCTCTGCTGCCGGACCCCTGCCCTAGACCTGTCCCTGGAGTCCTGGCCCCAGCCCAGGCCCTGTGGTGCCCAATCCCCGGGAGGCCAGATGGCCCGGCCGGCCAGTGAGCCGATTGTGTGGCGTGCGGGGTGCCGGGATCCTGGCCCTGTTTCCCTTTTCCTGCTCCCGGAGGGGGTGGTCACGTGCCCGACCCATCTGCCTCCCGTCTTCCGGGGATTCTCCCGCCGAGGCTGCTCTGGTGATGTCATGCCTTAACTCTTCTCTCCCCAGGCAGCCCTACTCGCAGGCTGTCCTGGTGGGAGTGGGCTCTGAGGAGGACAGCCCACCCGTCTTCCCAGCGGACCGTGCCGCTTGCGGCTGTGAGGTTGGGGGAGCCAGGGGCGTCTCTCCCCAGCTGGTCTGGGTCCTGGTGCTGCCCCCCCGCCATCCCACAGTGCACGGGTGCCAGACCTGGGTGGGCTGCAGTAGTGCAGAGGGGTGCGGAGCAGGCGCCGCAGGGTTGAGGGGGCTCCAGAGGGGTCCAGGGCCGACTCTGAAATCCTAGAGGAGCGGCCGGTGAGGCTGGCCGAGCCCTTGGTGGGCACCGTCCCTGAGGGACTCCCGGCAGCCGCTGTCCTGGGAGAGGCTGGTCCAACCTTCTTCCTTGAGGGCACAGCAGCGGGAGTCACAGCCGATTCTGCCTCTCCCTGCCTGGGAGGGGGGAGGGGTGTGGCGAGGGGAAGTGCGCTGAACCTGGTCCCAGTCCTGTCCGTGTAGCAGGCATTCGTCTGTCTCCCAGCCCGTTTCCTGAAAGCACCTTCCCATGGTGGAGCCCCTCAGGGAGGTGCAAGGGGAGGCGAAGCCCCGAGGGGGCTGAGGCTGCAGGTGACCCTAGCCAGCCCCGTTCTTGCTTTAGGGCAACCATTGACGAGGTGGAGACGGACGTGGTGGAGATTGAGGCCAAATTGGACAAGGTGAAGGGCGGGCCTGGAGCGCCTGGTGCCCGGCCAGGCTTGGGGATGGCTGCATGGCCGAACTCACCCTCTGGGCCTTACTAAGCCACTTACACCCCCCCATATGCAGAGCTCCCGTGTGGTGCTCCAGGTCCTGGTCCCTGTGTCTTAGCACGTGTGTTCCAGGGTGCACATGTCACACGCACACATGTGGCCGGCCCTGAGTCTCGTCCCATCTGGGAGGGGCCGGGCTGTGGTGAGTCCCCGACCCATGGTGGCCGCCTGTCCCCTCTGCTGGGCTGGTGACATGGGGACAGCTGCTGTGTGGGCCGAGCCTTGGTGTGGCTGGGGCTGGGGCGGAGAAAGGGGAGGGGACAACAGGCCGTGGAGCTGGGAGCCGCAGCAGGGAGTCGAGTCCACAAGCCCCACATGGGCTGGTCCTGCTGGCCCTGGGTCCCCTGCCTGGCTCCTGGTCCCTCCCAGCCGAGCGAGGCCATGGCGGCCCCACCCTCCCTTCCCAGACCGGCCTCCAAGCCCCAGGCAGGCCCAGGCGCAAGGAACCTGCACCAGGGCCCTGAGTCCTGGTTGCCAACACCCTCAGTGGAACCTACCCTGGAAGCTCTTCCTGCCTCAGAGGCTGTGCGTGGTAGCGAGTGCAGGCACCAGTGCCCGCCGTGCTCACCACGCCTGCCGGCCCGCAGCTGGTGAAGCTGTGCAGTGGCATGGTGGAAGCTGGTAAGGCCTACGTCAGCACCAGCAGGCTGTTCGTGAGCGGCGTCCGTGACCTGTCCCAGCAATGCCAGGGCGACACCGTCATCTCGGTGAGGGGCCAACTGACCTCTGACCTCAAGGTGGGGTAGGGGGAGAGGCCAAGGGAGGCAGCCCCTCAAGGGCATCCAGGCCAGGAGCAGGCCGGTGTCTCTACCGCCCAGGGGGCTCAGAGGGCGTGACTGGGTGACCTGGGCCTGGATTTGCCGTCTCAGCACGGCTCCCCATCTGCTCCTCCAGGAATGCCTGCAGAGGTTCGCTGACAGCCTACAGGAGGTGGTGAACTACCACATGGTGAGCCTGGCCCCCCTGCCACCCGCGGGCCGCGCGCAGCCTGGAACCGAGCTCTGCTGGTCACCGGAAGACCAGCATGGGGCAGGGGGGCACGTTTCTGCTCCTCCAGTCTGGTGGGGGGGCATCCCACGTCTTCAAGTCAGTGTGGGTTGGGGGACAGCCCTGGGGGCTCTGCCGTGTCCCAGGGAAGGGCTACACCAGACCCTGGGGGAGGGGTGGTTTATCCAAGGCTCTCATCCCAGGCTGGCCTGGCTGCCATTTGGGTCTGGGTGGCCCCAGGGGCCCTGGCACTGACGTGGATGGACACACAGGACAGGCACCCATGAGATGTGGGGCCGCAGCCTGGGAACCTGAGCCACAGACTGAACAGGGGAGGTTCCGACGTAGACCAGACAGGACGGCTCAGGCATCCCTTTGCTCCTGGTTATGCCCGGTCCTTCTCCACCTGATTCAGAGCCCAGGCTCCGGCTCCCCAGGCCCAGCTCTAGGGTGCTCCCGGCTCTGACCGAGTGCTCCCTGCTGCAGGGATGGGCACCCCAGGGTGGCCACCCAGGGCCAGGAGGCAGTGGGGCTCAGGCTGTGTCCTTGGTGCCCGCCTGATGAAGGGACCATCCGAGGCAGCCTTGGCCTCTGTCAAGGGCCAGGTGGGACAGAGGGGCAGGGGTCACAGCCGCCACCTGTGGGTGCCAACTCAGGCCTGGGGGCTGCTCCCCTGACCCCCTTGAGGCCAGCCCTGCAGGGTGGGACCCGCCCCTGTGTCTGGGCCTAGGGGCAGTGCCCTCTGCTGGTGAGGATGGGGCCTTCCGTCTGGGGCTTTTTTGGGACAGACCCCAAGGGTCTCTGCCCCCTTCTGCCCCCAGATCCTGTTTGACCAGGCCCAGAGGTCCGTGCGGCAGCAGCTCCACAACTTTGTCAAAGAGTGAGTGGCCCCCAGGCCCAGGTCCCCCAGGGCTGGGGGAAGAACACGGAGGCCACGCTCCTGCTCTTGGAGGGGAAGAGGGTCTGGGGCAGAGCAGGGGCACCTTGGCCCCAGGCCTCCAGGCCGTGAGCGATTCCACAAGGCAGAAGGCTCAGAGGCAGACAGCCGAGTGGAGCTCAGTGGGGTTCCACACCCTGCATGTGTTGGGGGAGTGTCCAGCCCCCCGCCAGTGGAGAGGTGCAGGCCACATTGGGCTTGCGGGTCTGGAGTCTGGGGCATGGTGGGGGTCTGGGCTGGACAGATCCTGATAGTGAGGTGGGGAGGCCTGGAGCAGATGGGAGGAGGCAGCAGGGGTGTGGGGGGCCTGGGATAGGCCAGTGAGGAAGGAGGCTGTGCCCAGGAGCAGAGAAAGGGCCTGGAGTGGAGGAGGGTGAGGGCTGGGCACGGTGGCTCACACCTGTAATCTCAGTATTTGGGAGACTGAGTCCAGAGGATGCCAGGAGTTTGAGACCAGGCTGGGCAACATAATGAGGCCTCCATCTCTACAAAAAAAAAAAGAAAAAGAAAAAAAATATATATTAGGTGGGCGTGGTGGCACGCGCCTGTGGTCCCAGCTACTCAGGAGGATGAGGTGGGGGGATCAGTTGAGTTCAGGAGGCGGAGGCAGCAGTGAGCCATGATTGTGCCACTGCACTCCAGCCTCCAGCCTGGGCAACAGAGAGAGACCCTGTCTCAAACAAACAAACAAACAAAGCCAGGCCAGGCGCAGTGGCTCACGCCTGTAATCCCAGCACTTTGGGAGGCCGGGGCGGGCGGATCACCTGAGGTCGGGAGTTTGAGACCAGCCTGACCAACCTGGAGAAACCCCTTCTCTACTAAAAATACAAAATTAATCAGGCATGGTGGCACATGCCTGTAATCCCAGACGCTAGGGAAACTGAGGCAGGAGAATTGCTTGAACCCGGGAGGCAGAGGTTGCAGTGAGCCAAGATGGCACCATTGCACTCCAGCCTGGGTGACAAGAGCGAAACTCCATCTCCAAAAACAAAAAACACAATGATGTGGGAGACTCCAGGATCCAGCAGGTGCCCTCCCTGACCTCTGGGTGCCCTCCCTGACCCCACCTGGCACTTGGCCTCCAGGGATGTGCGGAAGTTCAAGGAGACAAAGAAGCAGTTTGACAAGGTGCGGGAGGACCTGGAGCTGTCCCTGGTGAGGAACGCCCAGGCCCCGAGGCACCGGCCCCACGAGGTGGAGGAAGCCACCGGGGCCCTCACCCTCACCAGGAAGTGCTTCCGCCACCTGGCACTGGACTACGTGCTCCAGGTCAGCCCCGGAAATGGGGTAGGGGACGGGGACCAGCTGTAGCGAATGGAGGTCTCAAAGGCCTTGTACAGAACTGGAGAGATTTTGAGCAGGAGTGTCAATTCCTGCTTCACCCATGGGTGGGACCTCCAGACATGGGGAAGGACTCCAGAACCATGGGAGGATGAGGCTGGCCCAGTGCTGAGAGCTGAAGACGACCTGGGGGTCTCAGGGAACCACAAGCAGCTCAGGTGGACTCTATGGCAGGTGCAGGGCTTGGGGCTGCCTCAGCCTCCAGGGCTCACCTGTGGGCTCCCCCTCTGGCAGATCAATGTCCTGCAGGCCAAGAAGAAGTTTGAGATCCTGGACTCTGTGAGTGCGTGGGGGCTGCCCATGAGCACAGGCTGCATGGCGGGGGCTGGACCGGCTGTGCTTGGGCCTCACCTGTGCTGCCCCCGCAGATGCTGTCCTTCATGCATGCCCAGTCCAGCTTCTTCCAGCAGGGCTACAGCCTCCTGCACCAGCTCGACCCCTACATGAAAAAGCTGGCGGCCGAGGTGAGCCTTTGGGAGGGGTGGGGCCAAGGCAGGCCTCCGTGGCCTTCCCTAATGCCAACCCCAACAGCTGGACCAGCTGGTGATCGACTCTGCGGTGGAAAAGCGTGAGATGGAGCGAAAGCACGCAGCCATCCAGCAGCGGGTGAGGCCACGCAGCCGGCTCCCTGCACACCGGGCGCCTGCGAGGCCCCTGCGTCCTCACCCCATGCCCAGCACACCCTCCCCGCCCCTTCCTCCCTGCCTGTCCCCCACCTGCCCTGCCCACACCTTCTCTAGGGGTCCGAGGCTGCTGCCCTTTGATGCGTGCAGTGGAGGGGCACGTGTGGGTGGGGCCGCTGCTGGGATGTCCTTCCTCTGCGGCCGTGGTCACCTCTGCGGCCTCAGCCACTGGCTCCCTGCGGGGCCTCTGCTTGTCTGTGGGACAGCAGCCCCGGCCACCACCCAGAGCAGATGTTGGCTGCAGGCTATTTTGGGATAGGGGAGAGCCCCCAGGAGTTGGGGATGGGTCCGCCAGTCACCAGGAGTTGGGGGCAGCTGTCACTCACTGGCTCTCTCCCCCGCATCCCCTCCTGCTCCGGCCCTTCAGACGCTGCTGCAGGTGAGTGACCACTGCCCCGGGTGGGCTGTGGGTCGGGGGAGACCAGATGGGGTGGTGCCTTTCCCTCCCCTACCCCGAGGACACTTCAGCACCAAGGACACCTCCCACCGGTCTCAGGGCTCCTGCTGCAGCTGTGAGAAGGGCTGGCTCCGGCCAGACCCCCACATCCCCCGTGGGAGTGGCGGCAGCTGTCCCTTCCCGCCCCACGTGGCCTAGGGAGCAGGTGGCCGCGCCTCCCCTCTGCTGCCCTGGCCTGCCAGACGGCGGGACACACAGGGCCTTCAGTGGCTCCCAGGCCTCCTGAATGGGGCTCTGTCCGCTCAGCTGGCCACATGAATGGAGCACTCAGGATGCAGAGGGTGGGGGGGCAGCTTCCTTCCTGATCGCAGCCTGCTTGTCCCTGCAGGGCTGGGGTGGGGCTGGCACTCTCGGGCCCCCAGCTGTGAACGTGAGGGGTCTGCCCCACGGGTTTCAGGGCTGGGGGCCTTGCTCCGGTCAAGAAGTGGCTATGGGCAGGGCGCGGTGGCTCACGCCTGTAATCCCAGCACTTTGGGAGGCTGAGCGGGCGGATCACGAGGTCAGGAGATCGAGACCATCCTGGCTAACACGGTGAAACCCCGTCTCTACTAAAAAATACAAAAAAATTAGCCAGGCATGGTGGCGGCGCCTGTGGTCCCAGCTTCTAGGGAGGCTGAGGCAGGAGAATGGCGGGAACCCGGGAGGTGGCGGAGCTTGCAGTGAGCAGAGATTGCGCCACTGCACTCCAGCCTGGGCGACAGAGCGAGAGTCCGTCTCAAAAAAAAAAAAAGAAGTGGCTGTGGTGAACAGAGGGTCTCCCGTCTGAGCGTGTGGCCCGTGGGCCGTGTGGCAGCCTCAAACAAGGACCTCACCCAGCCAGTGCTCTGGGAAAGCACAGAGGGTAGCAGGGCTCCCTGGGGCGGGCACTCAGGGGGCGGGTTCCATCCCCCCAGGACTTCTCCTACGATGAGTCGAAAGTGGAGTTTGATGTGGATGCACCCAGTGGGGTGGTGATGGAGGGTTACCTCTTCAAGAGGGCCAGCAACGCTTTCAAGACGTGGAACCGGTGAGGGCCCTTCCTCAGGCGGGGGCAGGGGTCACAGCGGCCCTGGGATGGGCACCGTCTGACTCCCCACATCCCCCCACCCACCTAGGCGCTGGTTCTCCATTCAGAACAGCCAGCTAGTCTACCAGAAGAAGCTCAAGGTGTGCCCTGGGCCTGGGACTGGGGCCCTGATGGCTGGATGCCCCACCTGGGCCACAGGGCAGACTGGTCAGTTGGGGTTGGCATGGGGCTGGGGCACTAGTGGACACCGGAGCCTGAACGGTCAGGGAGCAGAGAGCTGGACACGGGGCTTGGGACTCGGGCAGTCAGCCTCTGGGTTTCTAAGGTGAAGCAGGAAGTGGGTGGTCGGGGCTGGGTGGCGGCTGAGGGCAGGGGCCACAGCAGTGCCGCCCACAGGACGCCCTCACCGTGGTGGTGGACGACCTCCGCCTGTGCTCTGTGAAGCCATGTGAGGACATCGAGCGGAGGTTCTGCTTCGAGGTGGTGTCACCCACCAAGTGAGGAGGTCCAGCCCAGGGTGAGGCGGGGGGCGTAGCTGCCCACCGGAGCTGACGCCTGCCCCCTCCACCACCCACAGGAGCTGCATGCTGCAGGCCGACTCCGAGAAGCTGCGGCAGGCCTGGGTCCAGGCTGTGCAGGCCAGCATCGCCTCCGCCTACCGCGAGAGCCCTGACAGCTGCTATAGCGAGGTGTGGCCCTTGGTGCCCCTGCCCCACGCCTGTGCACACACCTGTTTGTGGCTCGTGCAAGCTGGGTGTTTGCTGTGGGTGCACTGGCACACTGGCCTGTGCAGTGTGAGTGTGCATGTGTGTGCAGGTGGCATCTGCCCACATGAGGGTGTGCACGCATACATGCTTGTGCAGGCGTGTGCTTGAGGGGCCCTGGCCTGCACCCGCACTTCCGGCTGGGGAGGAGGGGACCTGCTGGGGAAACCACGCTAGAGCCCCTGCGGGACTGAGCAGCCCCACCCCATGCCCCAGAGGCTGGACCGCACAGCATCCCCGTCCACGAGCAGCGTCGACTCTGCCACCGACCCTCGGGAGCGTGGCGTGAAGGGCGAGAGTGTGCTGCAGCGTGTGCAGAGCGTGGCCGGCAACAGCCAGTGCGGCGATTGTGGCCAGTCGGACCCCCGCTGGGCTAGCATCAACCTGGGCGTGCTGCTCTGCATCGAGTGCTCTGGCATCCACAGGTGGGCCCCTGAGGGCGGGGCCGGGGATTGGGGTTGGGCCGGAGCTGGGGGCCTTGCCTCACCCAGACTCACCCCTGCCTCTGCCCTCCAGGAGCCTGGGTGTCCACTGCTCCAAAGTCCGGTCCCTGACGCTGGACTCGTGGGAGCCAGAGCTGCTAAAGGTGTGTGTGGGACTCCTGCAGGCCATGGGACCCCCTTTGTGGGGGCGGGAGCCGGGGTCTGCAGGTTTGCACTGATGCCTGCTCGCCCTGTCTCCCGCCAGCTGATGTGTGAGCTTGGAAACAGAGCCGTGAATCAGATCTATGAGGCCCAGTGTGAGGGTCCAGGCAGCAGGAAACCCACAGCCAGCAGCCCCCGGTGAGGTGGGGTACAGTCTGGATCAGCCAGGGAGCCCCAGCCTGGGGCACAGCCTCATGTTCACCCCTGATCCAGGCAGGACAAGGAGGCCTGGATCAAGGACAAATATGTGGAAAAGAAATTTCTGCGGAAGGCACCCATGGTACCAGCCCTGGAGGCCCCAAGACGCTGGAGGGCACATAAGTGCCCACGGCCCCACAGCTCTCCCCGCGTCCCCACTGCCCGCCGCAAGGTCCGGCTTGAGCCTGTCCTGCCGTGTGTGGCTGCTCTGTCCTCAGGTGGGAGGCCATGCCCCGGCAGGGCTGAGAGGGGCTTGCCTGGGTCGGGGATGGACTCCGTTAAGGGGTTGGGGGCACCTCAGGCTCTGCAGACTCCCACTGTGACCTGGGGTTCTCTACCCCACCCCGGGCATGTTCCCTGCTCTGAACACGCACTGCCCCTGCAGTGGGCACCCTGGATCGTAAGTTCCGCCGAGACTCCCTCTTCTGCCCCGACGAGCTGGACTCACTCTTTTCCTACTTCGACGCAGGGGCCGCGGGGGCTGGCCCTCGCAGTAAGTGTGGGATGGGCCCAGCCAGGTGGCAGGGCAGGGCCAAGGAGGCTGGCCTGGAGGGTGCCCAAGTGTGGATGGCCCTTGCAGGGGAATGGAGCAGCATCTGGAGGGGCGGGGGCCTCCTGGCCACAGAGCTGGAGGCCGAGGCCCTGACTGTGGGGGTGAGCTGTGCAAATGTGTGTGTGGGCTGTGTGCACCCCGGTGTGTGTGTGGAGCGAATGGCCCGGGGTGCTAGGGCAGCAGAAGGCACTGCCAGCTGGCCCTCAGCCTGGGACCCTTCTGAGGCCATGCTGCCCATCCGTTGGGTGGAGACTTTTCTGCCTGGGCCAGCCACAGACAGGGATGGGGGCCCACTGCAGGGGTGCAGGTGAGCCTGAGAGTGGGGGGGACGGACTTCCCCGCGGGCCTGGGCTTTAGGGGACTACCCCTGGCACCTTTGAGCTGTTACTTGGTTTTCTCTCCTTTGATCCTAGCCTGCGGCTGGCTCCCCCCTGGCCCTGGGTGGGAGCTGCTCCTGTCCCTAGGGGTTGCCCCTGGCGGGTGGGTGGGGTTCCAGCTCTGCCCCAGGGCTCTGGATGGAGTTGGGGCCTCCCACCTTCAGGACTCCCTTCCCTGCGGCCCTGCAGGTCTGAGTAGCGACAGTGGCCTTGGGGGCAGCTCGGATGGCAGCTCGGACGTCCTGGCTTTCGGCTCAGGCTCTGTGGTGGACAGCGTCACTGAGGAGGGTGGGTGGCACCTTGCGCTCGGCCGATGCCCCTGCCCAGCCCCGGGGCAGCCCCGGG